GAAATTGACAATCTTGTCGCCAGCCGTTGATTGGCCAGATATGCTATTACCACTGATCTGAAAATATAGAACCTGGATAGAGCTTGTCACACTGATCACACCACCGGGGCACCTGACAAAACTCTGTTCGTTTATTGGCTAAAAATAGATCACCCCATTGCTAGGTCACAGTGTTTGACAGTTCACTATTAAATATTTGCGAGAGGTCCTTTTTCACTGCTGTTTTAAAGTTGTTACAATACGCCTACTACCATGCAGTAGTGCTAAGTTTTCATGAATATTAATCAGTTTCTCATTTTCATTAGCGTCAGTACATGAAAAGTTACATCTTTCAATGGACCTAACAGAATATCGATGTTTCAAGAAATGTCTACTGAATACTTTACCAAATGTTATTTCACTGACCGCTGTATTGTATATAGTATCCGCCCAGGGTTACCACATAGCCTTACTAGTAACGATTAGCTCCATGCACGCTAGCTTCCCACAACAAGCATAATTGTGTCCCTCAAGTGATGCTAACCAGTACACTTCGAGCACGAGTGTATGCCTGAGCCGGCGTCTTGTTACTAATAGTTCTATACAGGTGTCCCAAAACCCAAAACTATTCAAATAACGTATTGTTAGAATTTGAATGTTCTAGCACTAAGCTGAACGCGAAGATGCGTAAAATATTGACAAGGGTGCATATTATAAATATTGACTTGTTAAGAAATTAAAATATCTTCGCAAAGCGCACGATTTTCTGCTCTTGGGAATTTAAAGCAGTTTCTTAAACAGTTTCTTTACGCATAAAATTTACTTATGTCAAGCTTTTATGCTCTTGTAGGTTCAGTTTGAGTGCCGAGGCATTCAAATTCTAACAATACGTTATTTCAATTGTTTTGGGTTCTTTTGCATGGATACCCTGTACAACTTCCATGTTGCATTTGCAATAATCCGATAAGATCAATCCATGCACTATACTACAACAACAACATTCTTGTGGTATTTGTAGTACTATCTCGCAAGAATCATCAAGGTGGAAGTTCGTTTAAGAAGTTGTATCGTAATATTCCATGACACGGGCCGGCAAGAAACCATTAATTGGTCAAGTCTCTTTCCTTTGGTGAGCTATATACATTAATTCTATTCTCATTTCATTTACAGTAAATTGTACATGCAATGCCAAAAACAACTGTTAATTCTAAAAATTCGTTACCTTGACCATGCAGCTTCACAGGAATCGTATTGAACAATAGTATATTATATAATAACGTTAAGAATTCAAGCGCTTTCATTGGTCGAGAGCCATGATCTATTAGAGGACGGAATTACGTCACACACTTTAATATGTACAGCCAATCACAACACAGCACGTGATTTAAGGTAGCCAATAGCATTCCCTTATTTGTATAGATCATGTGCGCGTGATATTTGTAATATTTCGACTTTATCAAATGTCAAAAAAAGTATGTGGGTGGATAAAAAGTAAGCTATTTACCTGTTTAATTCGGGGGTTTTCTTTGGCTTGTGAGCCACTTTTTTGTTTTTCCCACATTATGACGCCATAGTGTGTATCTATAACTGAACAGACAACAGCAAAATCTTATCTATTTGTTAATTGTTAAATAGATATATGTTATTTACCTACCGGTTGGTATAGGCCGGATTGAAAAAGATTTTATAAAGAGATTTACCCGGAAATAAAAAAATATCACTAGGCATGCACAAATAAAAATATATTCATTTATATATTCGGTTTCCATTGTTATATTATTATAGTGAGCATTTAAATATATATTTAAATATATATATATAAATATAAGTAAATAAATATAAATATATAAATATAGTACGATCTGCAGACATGCATGTTTCGGCGTTCTACGCCTCGTCAGCATAATTATGCTTCCTGAATTGCTCGTTATCGCTATCACGAGTATACTGTATAGTATCTTTTAATTATAAATATCCGATTTCTATTTGAATTCAATATTATATTAATACATTTTATAGGACATGCAAGCAAATAGTGATCATTCGTTTCATTTCCAAAGAAGCCCTTTTCCTCATGCATCACCTGCACCGATCCAAAATTGGTGTATGCAGCAAGGGCCATCATTTACACCCCAGTTTAACCATTCAAGACCAACCATACCAGGTGAGTGAAGTTTTTCACTGGCTTTTGTTGCTAAATCTTCGGGTTTTGATTGAATACGATGATGAATTTTGGATGGTATGGAAGGTACATGTTGAATATTGGCGGTGCATTTATATTCGGCCTACGAAAATTAATTGTGGAACTTTTTGATTCCATAATGTCCGGAGGATCACTTAGAAAATTGTTATCTTCATTGCCATTGGAATGTTCTCACTTTCCAAAACGCAACAAAGTTACAACAAAGACCATTACGGTGGAATTTCGGATAGATATACGAATACCAAATAAAACGGTCTTTGTAAAAATATTTCACGGCAAGTTTGTTTCATGCAGTAATCAGTATATTTTGCGAATTTTAAAACAAAGCTTGAAACCGGCATTTGCAGTAAGTTCCAGATTTTGAATTGTCAAATCAATGTCTTCATTGTTTACTACAATTAAAATATGAAAAGCTATTCACATTTATGGAAGTTAAATTATAACTTTCATTCTTCATTTTCTTGGGAGTGATACATTTGTTATATAATTATGACACATGCAGAATTTTTGCTGAGACAAAACCATAGAACAACCTGCTCAACTGACCAATCAGAACGCGCGAAAGCTCATTCCCCATTCCAGACTTGTACATGATGTAAAGCTTTAAAGGTGATCTACAGTCCGATCTGCGCATGTGCACAAATGAGCCCACTTTTTATGATACAAACAGTTTAACTATGTTTTGAGTTCTTGAAAAGCCTGATTGTTGTTTCTTGATCATTTATTATACTCTAGAAGCTTGAAAATATAAATAGTTGTCGAATAAAGCTCAATATTTTGGACACAAAAATGTAAACAAAGGCTTTGTTTACATACGGACTGTAGATCACCTTTAATATAATCCACCTTAAGTAAAAAAAATACAGTGGACTTACAAATTCATGAACATTATACTATATTGTACTAAAGGTATATTATTGTACTGTGTATATGAATGCGTATATAAAGCAAGGCTTTGTTTAACTGTAAGTTTTTAAATCAATCTTGAATTATTCTAGTAAATTTATGGGGTAAAAACAAACATTAATTTAAATTACTATCAATATGCAGTTTAAGCTGTAAGAGCCTAACCTCGATGTTCCATTGATTTTAATCTATTGAAATTTGAAACTGCGACGTGAAAACGTATTTCCCAACCTGACAAGGTTGCGTTTTTCTCGATATATATTTATTTCTCAGTAATATTTCGTCTCGTATATTTAGGAAACCATGCTGTCCAGGATAGTGTAATGCGACAACACTCACAACGACCAACACAAGCATTTTACAGACCACCAAGGGGAACAAAGGACTGAAAATACAACACGTATACTTGATATACTATTATTTTCGGGCATATATATATACTGTATGGTCAGCGCCTTGAACACACAATTTCGTTAAAATATAAGAAACGAAAATATGCATAATTTCTTACGTGATATCATCAGTTATACTATAAATTACATCTGTCATCATAAATGGTGTGCAATTGGCAGAAAAATAGGGTAGCTAATATAATAATCCCAATCAGCTAACCGGGTTTTAGATATCGCCGATAAATTTTTGGTCCAGTGCGGTTCAACGAAGCGCGCGCTGATCGACGTTGTGATGCGGAAGTAGCCTCTGACGAGCGTCTTGTTGAAAAAAATTAGAGAAAAATAGGGATATTGATGCTTCCATATTTCGCATCCTTTTTGTTGTCAAAATGGACATATACTGAACCCATTACGAAATAACTAATTTGGATCGTGATATATTCAAGGTAAGAACTGTTGTTGGAAAGAATTTATTGCCCTTTTGTACTTATAGTTCTATGTTCATTACTCAAAATTTATTCAGGTAACAATTTTAATTTTGCAGAAGGATCTCTTCAAAATTTCTCGTGTACATATATCAATAGCAATTTTGTTTTGTTTATGGCATTAACTTTGATTGCAAAAGCGTTCGAACTTATTTTTATCGATCTGGTCTTAACAATTTAACAAAGATCTGGGGAAATATGCAAGGCTGCTGAGGTGGAAATAGTATTCAAATTGTTATTAAAATTTACCATTCTGTTCTCGGAATAATCTACTAGAAACAAAATCCACCAGTATGAAGTGATCAAAGTTATGATTTACGTGAATTCATTGAGTTTTAATGTTTGTCTTCATTAGATGAAAGTAAAAATTCTGGTACACTTACCTGGAAGGCCTTCAGTTTCGAAAAAATTCCCCAATTGCGGTGTTGCCTCAGTCATTGACTTGTCTCCAGTACACTTGCACTTATAAACTCATTGTAGTTTTGTCAATCAAGCATATGAAGCCGTTGTTTTAGAGGATGAAGTTATTTTTTTCATTGTTGGGGGAAAGCCTTTTGAAATAATGCTAAAAACTGCGTGAGGTATGTGCATTTACCTTGTATAAGAGCACTTGAAACTGAAACATATTCTATATATGTCCTGTCACAAGAACTGCTAAAAATAGCAAACGTAAACAAACTGTCAAAAGACATTTTAAACCGTATTTAATACCAAAACTGGACAAAAATGAGTCAGATACAAACTAAAGCACAATTGAAGCCATCACAACAGAAATGTGTGCCGTGAATGACTTTTAAAGTTTGAAAAATAACAATTTATCCTCGAATTTAGCTGTCAGTATAAAACACGCGCGCTAGACTATAACGGTGATGTTATGATTTTGTCGTGCTTAAATTTTGCAATAATTCTCACTAAAATATCTTGAAAATCATTGTAAGCATGTTTATATAAAGCATACAAAGCATATACATCGACAAGGAACCGCAAAACTCAAAGTTTGAACTTCGTGACCGATGACATAAAACTGACATGTCAACTCTAGTATTTTCGGCCTTGGTCGCGTAATTTTGAAAACGGGTGTAATGCCTTTACCTAATTTGCTTAATAAAAGTAGTAAATTCCATACATTTGATTATAACTGTATACTTTCGGTTTACAATGCAAATTTCGAAAACTATACCAATGAGGGGGTAATGTCTCGCTCTGTTACATGTTAAATTTTCATTTAAATTCTTGCATTTTGAGTTAGATATGACAACTTTTCTAACAGCAAAAAAGAGTGTTCTAACTACTGTTATAAAGAAAGTCTTGAACGATTTTAGTTGTTATTGGGGAAGTTCTCGGACGGGAATTTTTCAATGAAGCTTGTAGGAAATTTCTAAATTTTCATAAAATTTCGTTTTGTATTAGGGAGTTTAAGCTTCACGTTTCCCGGAACGGCAAATGGCAGGTTCGAACTTTCTTGGCAAAATTTTCGTTGAGCGTTTTCGTTTCATATTTTCTTTCTTGCGTCGAAAGAATAATTATGTATTTCAGTTTTAAAACAGCAAGTTTATTTACTCTTTATTGCCTGATACCATAAAATTTTTCTTTGCCCTGGCGTTTGCCGTTTGACGTATAAGACGTATAAGACGTATAACGCGAAGCTTAAACTCTCTATTAACATTAATACGAACCGCATAATTAATAGCTATTTGATTAAAATAAATACTTTAAATACGTGCATGGCCAACGCAGATTTACAATAATTATTTTATAATTATACCGCGCAGTTAATATTTCGTGGTTAAATCTTGCTTGTATTCTTCATAATATAATACGAGTAATGTCTTAATTTCAACATGCACCTAAAATTTTCAAGTCTGTCGGTTATAACAATATTTTGTAAGTTGTAACTATTTCTAAAAATGCTATATAATCAAAGTGAACTTAAGTCGCAGTTTTGGTATAAAATTATATAGGTACAGCATATGATGGTCAACTTTAAAGGATAATACAGTTATTAGAGTGACTAAATTGTTTACTACACAGCTACTGACATATTAAGATTGGTAATTGTTATATTTGGCATCATTTGTTCACCGTTTCCCATCGCTGTTACCCTGAATCAGGGGGTTTCGCTGAAGCTGTAACCTGCACTCGGGCTTAGCACCATGTACAAGCACTCACTACAAGAACACTGTCAGGTTAATGGCAATGAACAACCTTTCGTAGCAAACATACGTAGCAACCTTTCGTTGTAAGGCCATGTATACGAGTCTATAACATGCATGCAGTATATTTAAATTATGCATGTTGCATGGTGTGAAATTGTAAACTTTGCACCAAATTACCCAAACCATAACCGCTCTGGCAATAATAAATATGCGATTTTACCTATATACATTCTAACGAGTTGGTTGAAGGAACAATAAAGTGGGCACCAATGTTTTAGCCATCTAAATACTCTAATAGTTCAGATGACATATCTATTTTCGAGCACTCACAAAGTTACTTTGTGAGAAATACTAACACTATATACAGCTAATAGTATTTCTTTCCTTTCTCTAATTGGAATAATTATTCTCCCAAAAAGCACTTGATTCATAGTTCTTCAGTATGTATAGATTCCAGCGTTGAAAATGTAATAACACAGTGAAAACTAAAGTAAAATCAAATGTAATAAATAGGACATAGAAACGTGTAATTATGTATAGCCATGTTTTCGATTAATTTCGAAATTGGATTCGTTCATGCTGAGACGTCATTTTCGTTCAGCACATCTATCGTTTCAGTTTAACAGGATAAAATGTGAGCAACTTGAAGTCTGGAACAATTTTTTAGTTCCGCAGAGTGGCAAGCGTTAAGCTTCCTCATTAACCAAACTCCTACATCTGCAGCAAGCATAAATTCCAACTCTTTCAGGTATTGTATAGTTTTAATTTGTAGAAAATATCTAACAATATGTAATTTGCAAAGTTTGTGAATATATATTCTAATTTACAGTTTTTTTATGCTTTATACTTGTTGATATTCCCAATGTAAGCTTAATATCCTCATATTAAGTTAGAGGATTAATCTATATAAAAGGATCGGAAAACATAAATTATTTTCAACAGAAAGAAACCTTTTCCTAAGGAAACCCATCCGTTATAGCGAAAACGTTTGCCAATTGCAATTCTGTACCTAGATTAATATTATCACTCGACATTTTTTGCTGGAAATGCACATCTAAAATTTAATTATTTTCTTCCATGTAGACAGGTTATGGCCCAAGCTGATACAAGTAGTGTTACCAAGCTTCGAAAGGCAATCTTAAATATTTGTCAATATCCACGAGGATGCCGACGTTCTTCTGATATGATAGGGAAAATTATTCCATCAATTGAGGACAAAGAAGGAAAAGAGCTTTGTAAAACCGTGGGTGATCTTCTTGATGAACACATTTTCAACTCAGCTAACAACTATTTCGACAGCGAAGCGCCTTTTCAACTTGAAGACATCTTAATCTCTGGGAGCCAAAGTGAAGGTACGCACAAGATAAATTTAAAGAAGGAGTCATTGTCAGATACCGATTTTATTCTTATATTAAAGAACATCAAAGTCATTCAAGAAGACCAAAAGAATGGAAACCTTACAGTTAAAGAAAATACAGCATTTGTGAACTTGTACCTAACAGATGAAGACCTTATTAAGATGTGGGCTGATTTCTTGGAAACATCGAGTAATGCAAGCTATGAAAGAAGTACTAAGCTTTCGTCAATGAAACTGAAAGAACGATTTCGAGAAAAATACATTAGTTGCGAACCAATCTTTACGCCAGTTGCCAAACAAGATGTTGAAGAAGTCGACGAAGGACCTTCAATAGTGGTTTGTTCCCAAGCATCTAGAAGAGCAACCAATCAGTCACCATTGGTGCATTTCCCAGCTGAGGAATTCGACTTTGTCCTTGCAATCAAGTGCGACGGATGGCCACTATGTGCCCAAGAATGGTTATCTAGACCAAGATGTTGGCCAAATCAAGATGTCGTTCAGGCAATCGTCGAAAGTGGTTTTCATATTGTCTGTAAAAAATCTTCTGAAGGCGACTTCCGGTTGTCTTATTACAACGCAGAAACAATCCTTATTCGAAACCTCAGTGATTTGCAGCACAAGACGTATCGCGCTTTTAAATCGTTCGTTGGCCATTATAAAAATGAATGGAGCTCTAACATCAAGAAAATCTTTTGTTCCTATCATCTTAAAACGATCCTGTTATGGTATTGTGAGAAATCTGATCCAAGAGACTGGACTGAGGAAAGAATTGTCGGTCATCTATTATCACTTATAGACGACCTGATATCTGCGTTGAAGGAAAGAAATTTACCGATGTATTTCATGCCAAAGTACAACTTGATGGAACAAATAGAAGACAGCACAGAAGTAGTTGAGAAAATAGCAGATTTACGCTTCAATCTTCACTCGATTACTGAGGCAATAATCTCAGAGGAACCCAGTGTTCTGGAATGGGCGAACTTCGTATCGAACTCCATATTACCTGGATGTTCCCAGCCTTTCGAGAAAGGTATTGAAAAAGGACATTTTGACCCAAACGATTTCCTTCAATATTTTGAGACGATGCTGGATGGTTACGATCAGTTTTGGATCGATTCTACTGGAAAGAAACCAAATGAAGTGCAAGGCAAAACAGCGTTCAATATGCTGCTTGAGCCAACGATGAAGTATATGGACAAATTTTGCGAAAGCATGAATCATGTTTACATGAACAAACCGTTGAAAGAAGATGAGAATAAAAATCAATAAAGTGATGATCATTGGTGTAATGAAACAAACGAATAAATTGATTAAAAAGTTATAAACATACATTGAACATTGCAATACAATGCAATGCAATGCAACACAACACAAAACATTACTTCATAACTGAGTCGGTTTTGTTAGATATGTAGCGCTGGGCAATTAGGCCAAGAAGGCACTTATTCTCCCTGTATGTATAATAATGAATTTATAATTGTAAAAAATTACAAACTCAAGCTTTTCATTTCGTTCTCAACTATATAACATGCAGTCTCGGTAAATAACTCTTACATTAAACGAAACGGACTTCAAATACTTTCATTAAATAAGGCAATCAAAACTTTTCCTTAGCCAACGTATATATGGCAGCATTAAAACAGAAAAAATGCAGGGTATGCATGTCATAGTTTTTCTAGGGTACGTCATAGTTTTAATGGTGAAATTTCAACCTCGTACCCAGGGTCTTTCCTCTTGGGGAGCAAATACCCTGGTAGACGCTGGTCACGTGATCTGCTAAAATCTAGCAGATTTCTAATTAACTATCTTGGTTTTCTTTACGACAATCATACAAAATGCAAATTATAAATTAAACTATTAAAATAATCCAAATATCAAATGTTTATTGACCTGATCTTGGATTGCTAATTAAAAATCTGCTAGATTTTAGCAGATCACGTGACCAGCGTCTACCAGGGTCTTTGCTCCTCAAGAGGAAAGTCCCTGGGTACAAGGTTGGTGAAATTTATCTTATTCTGTAACTTATAATTAGCTGTATTGTGGAATAAATTAAGCTCGTTAATTAATTTATAATATCAGCTTACAAAAATTGAAATGCAATGTCAGCTATTCTATACACATTATGATATACGTCTTTCAGGGAAATTTAAGTCTGCAAATGTCAAAGTCTCCAAACGAATCGTTATACTCGTTAGAAAACCGAAGCAGTTGTGGGAAAGAAGTAAAAAATGATATTCAGCATCAAAATGATGGATGATAGAACAATTGTATGACTAACTAGAAATACACAGAAGCGTCCCCCTGGCAAAATTTACCCCCCCCCCCCTTGATAAAATGTATTGTATAAAAAATGGAATCCTTGATTATATAGCTTCATGCTGTCAATAATGCAAACATTCTGTAGAATATATGCTTTGCTGCGCATCAGTGTGAAACCTAAAATCTTGTTCGCTTATTTGCGGCACACAGCTTGAAACACATACCTTTTCTAACCCTAATTATTTCAATATGTATTAAATGAGGGTTAGATGAAGTTTAAACCAATCTGGGGTTTTTTACCAGTGAATTTTTTAACGCCGGCTCGGTGAAAAATCACATGTGTCGACAATTAATTTTACCCTGCACTGCACAGAATGCCTTGCGCGAACTTTGCGTCTCGAGTCACTGGCGGCTTGGCCCCACCTGGGTTTTTGCTGCCCCCCCCCTGACCAAAAATCCTGGCTACGCCTCTGGAAATACATGCATGCAGAACGGGCTGTGCCAGTGGGTAGTGCCAAAAACAGGAAAGCTTCGATCGGATTGGTAGGGATGCATCTATCTGAAATACAAGGAGAACTTCGATGTTTCGAACGAAGACCCTTCAGTAGATTCTACGAGTATATATATATATATATATATATATATATATATATATATATATATTTCCACCCCCTCCTCCCTAATTTTTCATCAAATTTGAACGAATCTAAAATTACACTCTCAAAAACATTGACGTGACCCCTTTTCTGGGTCCATGAATTTTAATGAGGTAAATTAGTTATTAATACAACTCAGAAGAAACTACAACAAATTTCAGCAAACATGATATTAGCTTTTTTTCATGACAGTCATAATGCCACCATTTTTTCTTGTATAGTCTTCACATGTAGAGGAAGTCGGTAACCGTATGCTATAATAAAAGTATAAAAATGTATGATGAGCAAGTAGAACTAATTATAAAAAATCACAATAAAACTGAAACATTCGCCATCAGCCAAACAAAATTGCCCAACAACAACGTTAAATGAATTAATGTCCATTTTATTACGTTACTCTGACACCCGTTCCAGCTGTATATATTATGTAGTAATTATGCACAAGTGTATCCAAATGTATGTATAATAAATAATTTATACAATATGCTAATTTTATGCTGTATACAACTTTAATTCCCAATCACTGCATGTTTCGGCTTTGTGAAAATATATACCAAAGTGAAAGAAGATTTTAAGGCGACCTCGACACTTCAATTACTTACGATACTGTGGAGCTTGTATGCTTCCGTCTAACGTGCTCGAACTTATGGAACTATACCTCTATAATACATGGTTCAGTTCTTCCTGATAATTTGTCCCTCGAGGAGATGTACACCGACACCTCCCGGGGTTAGGAATTTGTTGAGCGTCTGGTCCCGGGTGTGCCCGTAGTGGCAGGGGTGTGGAATACAAATGTTCATGCACACGTGAGAGGTGTTGGGCCTAGCCTGCGAATCGCCGCGAGCTGTTACCCGCAATTATTAAAAACGGCGTCGGAATATACTTCGAGGAATACTTCGTGGCGGAGTCATTGAGTTTGTACGAGCCAAAGCAATATGCAACTGGCAGCGAAGTTTCTAAGACAAATTAAGGCATGTTTTCAAATGAAGGACTGGTAGGGCACAGTTGCACTATATATAGCCTACACTGATTTTTTACGTATTTTGAATTAACATGCCTGTAGATCACTGTTACATTAATTAACACTGACACTGTAACATGGCCTTTAATAGCCTTAGCGAATATATTCGATCGCTTAGTAAAGGCAGTTTTAACTTTACACAAGGAGAAATATACTGTGACCGATCTTTTTTCCCAAAGAAGCAAACGATTGCGTGGGAAGACTGAGATTATTGACATGCTCTAACTTATGACCACAAACGTTCACTGTAAAAACAGATTGGTTGAAATGACCCCCAAAAATGGTTAAAAAAACAATCAATATTTTTGTTGTTTTAACCAAACAAAATTGGTCAAAAAGAGATGCGTCTGAGACAACCAATTTGAATTGGTTATTTTAACCATATAAACAAACAGGAATCATCGTGCTTCCAAATAACGATCTCCAAAAATGAAAATCTCCACATTGCTGGCCGATGACGTCATCCCTCTAGTATATATATAGAGCTGCGTTGCCACCTTGCATCAGCGCCGATGAAAACACGAGATGCTTTCATGGACATAAAGCAGAGTAGCGAACGAAAACTTGACTTTGAACACTTCACATGTGCCTACTGTAACGTTTACGTACTTCATGATGTCACATCAGATGTCGCTGGATCATTGCTGTTCTTGTCCCTATAAAGAGGAAACCTTATACAGTTAGAAAGCTTCAAGGTTATCTTCTTGTATTCGATCATGCCGTCCACAGAGAGAGAAAGAGACGGGGCGGGGGGATACAACGTGACTAGGGCACCCTTTTCCTCAATTTGAGATGGTGCCAATAATGAACACAGATTATTTCTGTTCAAGTAAGTGCCTTCCTTCTTTTTATGTTTGACTTCGTCATGGCCATTTTCCAGTTCGTGCTGGGGGTAGATCTGTACAAGAGTTATGCCAATGTTAGTGCAATTTCGGTGTTGGCTAGCAATTGATTTGCAACGAGCTTTTCAATGGATTATCATGGATCTATATTATTATCATGGATCTATATTATATATAGATCGTATATTATTGCTCAGAAAATCCGCTGCAGCTTCAGATATAATTAGTGACATTGTTAAAAATTACCAACGTACGTTTTGTCTTCAGGAGGATACTTGTATTCAAATGATGGCTAATCAAAAACAAAAAAATAAAACAATGAGCTTAAGAATTTTTTTGGTAGATCGGGTAGAAAGATATACCTGCAGATGAAAATTATCGAGTGGAAATTTATATACATTTATTAGACCTAACCAGGAACAGCTGCAAAATATTTAACAGTCATTCTACGAACTCGAGTCGAATATGAGCTGATAGCCGATGAGGCGCGTAGCGCCGAATCGGCTATTGCTCATGTTCGACGAGAGTGAGTGGAATAACTGTTTTATTATATACACAAGGTCTGAATTCACAGACTTTGCTTTTCCGTTATTTCCATAATTTTTCTATTTTGTTTATGTTTTTATCTTCGCTCTTTCGCCCGATTATTTTTTCCAAAATATATATTTTTAACCATTTTAAATTTTAAAAATTTATTTGCTAACCTGAAAACAATTTGTGGGAGTTTTTTAATTGTGTTTTTAATCCTGTGAAGGCTATAAAAAGCGACAACTTGCCGTTTTCTCGTTTGCAAAACATCGTAAATTCAGTTTGGCCGCCGTTTTGTTTTTCTCTACTAGTACTAGCAGGATATGAGCTAATATCCTGCTAGTAGAGAACCAATCAGATTGCAGAATACCTCATATCCAGACCTTGTGTATATAATAAAAATATATACTTCCAGCTGGTCACAGTTTCACTTACACCACCATATTCCAATGGCAATTGATCCTTATCGATATACTTGGTTAATTCTTCTTCTGTTGGGAATCTACGTAAATAAAGTAGTAAAACCAATTTATTTTTGCATAACAAGTCGTCACAAAATTTTTAATCATTAATTACCTCATTTCCTCTATATAGGGGGATTATTTTTTTCCAGTAGTTCTTTACTGCGGGCTTGTTATGAGGTGGGGGGGGCTAAAATAGACACTTTAGCCAAAATACTTAGAAGATTGTCAGGACTGGTGTAGTTCTGAGTGGTTACATGCATGGCGTGGAGCAGGAAAAAGCTAAAAGAAAAGCTTGAACATTGGAATTTGATTGACCACTTCGGAAATTTCGATAAAAAGACATCTTACTCTGACGTTTATTTTATAACTAGACTGAGCACGCAAAATCATGAAAATTTTCTTAAATTTCCTGTAAAAATACATGCTCCAATGCTGAGGGAAATATTCACTTAGTTTTGGAGCATGTTAAATACGGTAATGCCCATTAAGTATATTTCACTCTACTAACTTTCTGGCGAAGATATGTTGTCAGACATATATCAATCTACTCATAATGGAACTTACATATATTTGCTGCTCAATCTTGCTCCAATCAAGCCTTTGAAAACCTTCCATATGCCTTGGAGTGAAGTTTATATTTAGATGGAGCAAAATCAGTTTGCATAGAACCATATAAGGGGTGGACCATTGGATATCTGATGGGGGGGGGG